TGCTTTACATTAAAAATTGTCGCGGCTTAAACTGGAAATTTTAAATACATTGATAAGAAATCAAAATTTTTTTGGCACATTTTTTTGGAGAAGTTTAAAGAACAAAAAACCAAGCGATATCTTCATGTTCATCACATCACATAATTAATACGTTAACATTAAAGGCAGGAGGCAGAAGAAATTATTAGGTATATTAAACTAAGGTTAATTAATGTAGACTCGGTTAAGGCCATAGTCTGAAAGACTGTTTGAACAACAGTACTGCAGTATGGGACAGCATATTAGTAAATAAGATACGTAATACAAAATATCTGCTTTTCAAGGCATTAAGTGCAAACTTCCCCAGAAACACCCTGACGATTTCACACTCACATGATTAGGGTGGTTGGCGCAAAGTAAGTGGCGTCGCCAATGGTATTTTAAAATAGGGCGCGCCATGGCATGCCAATTTAGATGTGGTACAGGCATGGCGAGCCAATCACAATAAAGCATATGAATATACGTATTATATTGTCATAAATATTTATAATTCACATGCATACTGACGTATACTTCTAATTTATTCAAATGTTTCATTTCATTATTAAACACGATCAAATATAATTTATTCGATTGTTTCATTTTATCATTAAAACATCTGAATATTAAACTTTCCGGTTTCAATTAATAATCACTATTTATTTTATCTAGTCATGACAAAGAACGGCTTAATGTTCTTTTGGCTAAAGTCACTAGTATAAAAAAATTCGATTTGTAATATTCTCAAGTGTGTCCATTATTTAAAAGAAAATTAATGATAAAATTACTAGTTACGATATCAATTAAAGTTACATAATTAATATTAATCACGCATTTGAAATATGATTTATGCAGATTTGGCCGTAACTTGTATCTAGATTTTGTATTATAATGATCTTAAAAAAAAAAAACTCATTAAAAGGATAATTGCATATTAATAATACATCAAAAATTATAAATAGAAAGTCATACAACTGCACTCTATTATTGCAATGCTGGGGTCAATAATAATATTTTTAAAGTTAATGTCCAGACGAAATGAGTTGCTGTGAATAGTTTAGCTTATCTAATCGATATAGCTAAGCTCAAGCAAAATGTAACTAAAATCAATAATAATAATGCAAATGTCTAAATCGCACAATTCAGCATTATATAGTATAATGCATTACATCTTTTCTGCAGAAAGATTTGTTGTAAAAAATATGAAAGTTTTTGCAAAAATGGCAGGATTTTACTAAAAGTGAGTAGGAATAATTCATTTTTTTAGGGTTAGGCTGCCTTATTAATACTTCACCTTATACTGCATTATTATATCCTGACAAATTTAGTTATATTAGTATTTTCCTAAAGATTTATCCGTTTTATCTGAAATAGTAAGATATAAAATTTATATAATTAAACTCTGTATTAAACTTTAGTTCAATTGTATAATTGATATTACTATCAACACTTTAGTTTCAGTATTAGTAATATCGATATTTGATACTTTGATCTTACTAATTACACTTCATTTTTAAATGTTAAAAATATTATATAAAGGCATTTAACTAGTTGTTGTTTTATCTCATAAACATAAATTATTAAAAAAATTTAAAATCATCAATATTATGGATTCTGAAGACGATTTTGCAACTTCACTTGATACACTCGATGAAACTATAGATTCTGATGAGGTCGCAACTTCATCAAGTGTTATTGATACACAAATTGATTCAGAGAATGAGTTCATAACCCCGGCTAGTACTTTTGGTGTACATTGAACAGGCTTTTTACGTTCTAAACAAGTCAAGAGTACTAAATCATGTTGATAAAATGCAAAGTGTCTATACTGTAACAAGATATTTGAAGCACGAAAAGAAGCAATGATTAATCATATAATGAATACATGTCAAAAATAATGGCAGAATAAAAAGTTTCATATATACATAAAATTAAAAAAAAATCTAAAGATGTAATTGAATCTTACCCAAATGAAGATACTGATATGTCTTCAAAAAAGCGTAGAGTTGATTTAACAGATTTTTTTAATAAAGTTTCGATTTCACCTGAAAAAACTGATGAGCTTCATACATTATTATTGAATCATTAATTTATAGTAATATTCCATTCCGATTCATTGAAAACCCTTATTTTGCTCTATTTTTAAAAAAATTACATTCAAGTTATAATTTGCTATCAAGATATACATTAATGTATAGGATAATGCAAACAGAGTATGCGAAAATATTGTCAGAAATAATTTATTGTCTTGAAAAGCTTGATGATTTGACTCTTTCTCTTGATGGATGGACTGATGTATCAGGAAATTCTGTATATGCATTTCTTTTAAATAAATTTGACGATATTAGTGAAGTTATTAATATCGAAGATTTTTCCATTATTCGGCATACGGCAAATAATTTGTTAATAACTCTTGAAGCTTCATTGAAAAATATTAATATAGATTTTGAAAAAATTATTGCACTGGTTACAGATAGCCCCTTAGTTATGGTATGATTTTGAAAAAACATTTCAGAAAAATATCTGCATGTAATCGGCGTTCGATATTGTTTGCACGTTTTTAATCTAATTTCAAAAAGAATTTTATCTTATCGTCCCTATAAAAATTTAATTAAAAAAAATTTAATGTTAGTAAATTTTTTTAAAAACTCCACTTACTGGAATGCGAAACTAAAACAATAGGCTATAGATAATAATATTAAGCATAATTTACAAACATATTGTGAAACCCGTTGGTATTCTTTTACAAAAGTTTGTTCTTTCTGTTCAAAATTATGAGGAGGGTTTTAAAGTTTGTCTTGAATATAACAATCAATTTTCTAATGAATGTCCAATTATTCCAACAAAAATTAAGGAAATAATTAACGACAATTCTTAAATATGTAGTAGATGCAATTGGAAGACTTGAGTCACATAATACGATGGTTGGAGACGTTTTTGCTGAATTATTTGCAATTTATAAGAATTAAAAATAAGCAAATTTAATGATATTGATATAGAATTCATTAAACACGCAAAAGATATTATTAATATTAGAGCAAAAGAGTTTGATGAACTATTATATTATTTAGATTTTTTTTACACCCAAAATATCGCAAAATAGCTGTATCTAAAAAGTTATCTTTTAATGATATATTAATTTATGCTTTAACATTTGCTCAAAAATGGAATTTTACTAGAGAGCAAGCAGAACAAATTCCAAACCAATTAAGTGACTATTTTAATAACCAGTTACCTTTTAGCTCAGTTATAGCATTAGAACCACGTTTATATTGGAAACGTCTTTCTTATCAAGCTGGGGCTTTAAAATCTTTAGCACTAAAAATATTTGCAATCTGCCCTCACGCTGCTAGAATTGAACAACTTTTTTCATCTATGGGTTTAACTA